ATAAAAATAAATAATAATTATAATGATTAATTATTAAATAATTAATATTAATAAATTTATTTATTAAAATTATTTAATAAATTAAATTTTTTTATAAATTAATAAATTAATTTTTTTAAACACTATTTTTTATAAAAATTTAAAATTTTAGTGTGTTAAGTAAATATTCTTCTATCAGAATACCGACGCCCCATGCTATTCAACATGTGACTGCTGTGGCCCCATTCACGACCCGTGAATTTTGTTGTTTTTGATTGTTGTCCTCCGGGTTTCCTTTTGTATTATGAGGTTGCTATAATAGGAACCTGTTTTCCCCAGGGCCATAGTGCACTATTTGCCTGCTATTTAGTATATACTAGTAATCTGCACTCCGCAATGCAGCGTAGGAAAATTTAAGTCAACTAATAAAATTTTAAAATAAAGCACTCAAAAATAGGCCATAATTAAAATGAAAAAAAAAAAGAAAAGAGTAAAATGACTGCCCACTAATTTCACGAAGTACAAAAGACAAATGAAATGATAGTTACAATAGCTAGTATATCCTTTTCATTTCATAATAGTTGAAAAATGGAGACAGAAAAGGAACAAAAGGAGAGTAGAAAAGAGTGGATGAGTAACAGGTGAAAGAAGCAATGACCTGTGTAAACCAGAAAACGGAAAAGTTTGAAACACAGACCCCTAAATGCCAGCTAAAGAAAAGAAGAAAGAATGGTTTAATACGTAAATAAGCAGTTTGCCCCCCACTACCTAATCCAGGAGGGAAGTTACAGAAGGAAATCGAAGGATAAAAAGATGATTTTAAATACGGAAAGATTGATGTTAGCGACAGAGGGTTTAGGATAAAAAACCACAATAAGAAAGAATAGAAAGAATACGGAAAGAAGCGTAAAATAGGAAGGAGGTTTTTGAGAGAAAGGAACAAAAGAGTAAGTGATGAGAGAAATAAGAAAGAATAGAGATTTAAATTTTTATATTTTGATTTCTTCCCTCTTCACCAAATAAATTAAAAATGAAATTACGACACCTGGAATTTACACTACCCCAACTCGTATAAGGAAACAATAATTGCCTCACAAAAGGTCTAAAATTGATTAAGACAAGCAAGAAAGCCAGTCAACCACATGATAGTGGTATGCATTTCAACTCTCATTTTATATTATAAAATTTTAATTTTTAAATTTTAAGATTTCAAAATTTTAATTTCTAAATTAATGAAATTCATTAACTTTAAGTTAAAATAAAAAATGACAGTGATTTTTTGGGCCGAACTGTACAGTGATAGTCTATACTTTTGTTGTTGAAAACTTGAAAAGAATGAAAGAAGTTTCCCTTACCTTTTTTTAAAAAGAGAATAAAAGAAGTTATTACGGGCGGATGGGGATTGTGAGCCTGTGAACCCATTGGACATGGGCTTATGATTGGGTCAAACACCAAAACTGCCCCAATAGGCCTATTTAATTAAAAATAGAGTCCGAGCCCACATTATCATAGTGGACATAAGAAGTCCAAACGAAATGCTGCCGCTAATATTATCATAGTATAAAATTGTAAATATCCTTTCCTAAGTGAGTTCACAGTGTAAATAAATATGTAAAAATGGGAGGGCTTAGATTAGATATTTCAAAATAGCTCAGCCTAAAATAATAATAATAAAAATAAATAAATAAATAACGGAAAGAAAAAATGAAAAATAATTGAAAAGTCTCGTGGAGATTTCACCATCTTGCTCAATCACATTTATTGTTTTGGTTGCAAAGTGTGTTTGCCATGCTGTTAATAAGGTACCCCTGTTTGCTATACCATTAAACAAATTTTTGTCTGTTTACAACTAGTCCGAATTGTGCAATAATTTTTCCTTTCTACTAATTTGTGTGAACTAGTGTTCTCTACGGGGTTTTTCCAATGTCATTCTTAATGGAACAGCAGGAGTCAGGCTTTCACCGGCAAGCAAACGGGTTTTGACTCATAAATTTCATTACTATTTACTTTGATCTCATGACTAGTTGCATTATCTTTAATTAAAAATGTCCTAGTTTCATTACATTTGTTGAGGGAGACAACAAATGCAACTCAGCCTTAGGATTAAAACATGCACCGGAAACTGAAAAGAAATGCTACCAGTGTGCACAGCATGATCTGATTTAGACCATGTTTGGTTCAGTTTTTAAGTATTTCAGTTTTTTGATACTATTCATATTTCATAAGTCTAAATTTTTTTTAAAAACTTACATTTTAAAATTTTTTTGAATTTTAAAAAGATCTCAAACAGTAAAAATTCAAAAGTTTTAAATTAAAACTTTTTATAAACTCCGTTTTTACTTTATTTTTACTCGTTTTTTCTTATATTTAAAAACAACTTTTAAATTTTCTCTTTAATTAAAATTTAAACTTATCACTCATAAATAGTATAAAGAAAAAAAGTAAAAACTCTTGCAAGTTTACCCAAACCTACTTTTAAACTGATAACTTCTGCACGCAGGCACTTGAGTCGGTGTCAAAGAAGATACATTAAAGGTCCCCCATATTTCTTGGCAGTAAGCTGATGCTGAAGAAATTAAAGTACCGATAAGAAGAAGAAATAAATGTACCCATTAATCTCCAGCTTTCCTGTGGTACTTAACA